AATTCCTCAGCACCCTGCGAGAGCGTTTCGCAAATCTCACCAGGGGCCTCATGGCCTCTAACAAGTTGCAAACTGTCCACACAAGACGGTGGAGAGTGCTAGGGCGTTGAAGGCCGCCATGGATGAACTCGTTGCCGCTCTTGGCCACGGGGTCACTAAGCCCCAATTGGTCCAATTGTTCTACCGCGTTATGCCCGAGAAGTTGCATGGGCGTTTCTTTGATAAGAAGCAGCAACCCAACATGACATACGATACGCTGAGTAGAGAGATTGTTGCCTTCGAGGCTCAGTCCATGCCAGTCACCACTTTTTGGCATAAGGACCTTGCCAAAGGGAAAAAGTGGAAAGGCCACACCATCACCAGTCAGGTCAAGGCTAAAAACAACCTTATTCTTACATTAGATGAGGGTGGTCTAGAAGAGGTCCCATAGCGAGATTGAGTGGGGCCTCGATGAGGAGGACAACGACATTGGCCAGGGGAGGACCTACGTTGCTGCCGCGTCAGGAGGGAGGCCGCAAGGGAGAGGAAGAGGTCAGGGCCAAAGAGGCCAGACCTCTAGTGACAGAGGGCAAAGCGGTCGGGGGGTTGGCGGCAGGGGAAACCGCCAAGCGAGAGGAAGGGGTCAAGGTCCCCCGTCAAACCGTCGTCGCTCTAGTCAGTCACCTCCCAGGTAGGGTGGATGGCACCCTCGTCGGCTTGAGGGCCGGCCCTGGGAATCACTGGGCTTAGAACAGACAGTGTGGCAGAGGCAAATAGACCTGGACCAATGCATCTATTACGGTGATCCTAGGCACATCATAAAATACTGCCCTAGATATAGAGAAGCCCGATTTGCTGCACAGGTAGCAAAAGGTAACCGCCGGTAGGGGTTGCAACTGCCCCTAGACCATGTGGAGAAGAGTGCGCGCACCACAGATAAACTCCCAAACCACATGTGTCTACGGCAGAGGTTGCTGGCCAGTGTCTAGACAACTGTCTAGAGACTGCTTGTGTTAGAGTCTCTCTAGGCACTTCCCTCACAGGCGTGGCAGAAGAGTTGAAGGAGAGAATGCCTGCCTCGGCCAAAATGAAGAAAGATGCGAAGGGACAACTAGTTTTGGTAGATGTAGAGATTTTCAAATGTAGAGTAGGGGCCCTTATAGATAGTGGGGCCACCCGCAGCTATATTAGCAAGAAGGCGCTGCAGAAGTTGAAGCTTAATTTGAAAGTCCAAAGGTTAGCAGACCCTATAGTTAGCATCCTCACAGACAATCGCACTATGCGAATCGAGGACTGTGTTGAGGGAGTCCAGGCGTACTTTTACCTAGAGAAGGATGGGAAGGTAAAGAAAGTCCTTCATTCCTTGACTCTCCTCATAGAAGACAGTCTCCCATTCGACATAGTTTTAGGAATGGATTGGGGAGAGGCAGCAGGGGCCACACTCCATTTAAGAGAGCACAAGTGTAGGCTCCCTGGTCCATCAGACGAAGAGAAGACAACCCGCGTACTTCATGTGTCAGGAGTAGATAACACTCTGGCACATTGGTGCCTCAGTGCTCCCACGTTCGCGCGCTTAGTGAAGAAGGAACAATTGGAGGAACAAGTTTTTGTAGCCTATGTACGACCGGTCACTGAGCCTAGGGAAGAGGAGCCCACTAACCCAACTATTGCCAAGTTGCTGGAGGAGTACGCAGACTTGTCTGAGCCGCCTATAGGTGTAGTACCGCGGCCAATCCAGCATCGCATTGAGATAGAGCACGGCAGTAGGACCCCTAAGGGAGTCGTTTATAGAATGTCCCCACGGGAGTTAGAGGAGTTGAGCAAGCAGTTAGACGAGCTCCTCAAAAAGGGTTGGATTAGGCCCAGTTCGTCTCCATTTAGAACACCTGTTCTTTTTGTTCCCAAAAAGGAGGGAGAGCTTCGTATGTGCATTGACTATAGAGGTCTTAACGCCGTCACAGTGAAGAATGCAGAACCACTGCCCATATAGATGATCTGCTAGATTGGGTGCAGGGCTGCAAATACTTCTCAAAGATAGACTTGGAGTCAGGTTATCATCAGATAGAGGTTAATCCTGATGATCAGCACAAAACGACGTTTAGAACAAAATATGGGCACTACGAGTTTATAGTAATGCCCTTTGGACTAACCAATGCCCCAGCTACCTTTCAGCACTGTATGAATGATTTGTTTAGGCCTTGGTTAGATAGATTTGTAGTAGTCTACTTAGATGATATTTTAGTCTTTAGCAAGACCCGCCAAGAGCATGAGGGCCATCTGAGGCAGGTCTTGGAGAAGTTGAGGGAAGCTAACTTCAAGATCAACGCGAAGAAGTGCGAGTGGGCCAAGACACAAGTCCTGTACTTGGGCCACGTCTTAGATGGAGATGGCATAAAGCCTGAGGACAGCAAGATAGCAACGATTAGAGATTGGCCACCGCCCCGCACATTGACAGAGTTGCGGTCGTTCCTAGGCTTAGCCAACTATTATAGAAAGTTTATGAGGAACTTCTCCACCATCGCTGCACCCCTTCGCAGGTTGCTAAAGAAAGAAGCAATCTGGAAGTGGGACAAAGATTGTACATCAGCCCTGAAGAAGTTGAAGAGGGCTTTGATAGAATATCCAGTCCTCAAGGTAGCCGATCCGTCCTTGCCATTCGTTGTTACTACTGATGCGAGTCAGTACAGCATAGGTGTTGTTTTACAGCAAGACGATGACAATGTATATAGACCCGTGGAGTTCATGTCTGCTAGGATGCCTTCAGAGAAGGTAGCAACATCAACCTATGAGAGGGAACTCTACGCTCTCAGGCAAGCACTAGACCACAGGAAGCACTACTTGCTTGGGAGGCACTTCAAAGTGTATTCGGACCACAAGACGCTGAGGTGGTTGAAGACACAGGCCAAGATGACACCTAAGCTTACTAGGTGGGACGCCGAGATAGATCAATTTGACTTTGAGCTCAACCCAGTGAAAGGAAAGTATAACGTAGTCGCGGACGCTCTAAGTACGAGGGCTGATTACTTTGGAGCGATAGTTCATTATCTGGACATAAGGAGAAACCTGCAACAAAAAGTTAAAGAGGCATATGCACAAGACCCTATCTATAGTGACCCCCTCAAGAGAGTGACGGAGGCCCCAGAGACAAAACCAGATTCCCGCACTACCGATGGGTTACTATTCGAGAAGACTAACGTAGCGGACCGTCTGTGTGCCCCCAACAATGAGGAAGTCCGTAGTTTGATCCTAGGGGAGCGTCACAACACAAAGGGATATTTCAGTTGGCAGAAGAAATTAGCCAACCATTTCGGTTGGCAGAAGACATTAGCCAACCTTATGCATGAGTATATGTGGCTTGGTATGAAGGCTGACTGCATAGTGTATGTACGCAGTTGTAAGGTGTGCCCACGAAATAAGACCGCTATGTGAGCCCCTCTTGGTCTTCTCAGACCCTTGCCTATTTCTGATGGGCCCGGAGATTCTGTGTCCATTTGACTTTATGGATGCAGGAATCAAGAGTAGGCATGGCAAGAGCCAAGCCATGGTTATAGTGGATAGATTTAGCAAGTATGCAGTTTTTGTTCCCTTGCCTTCAGAGGCACGCACAAATTTAGTAATACGAAAGTTGTTCGACCATTGGGTCAGTGATCACAGGTTATCGCTGTCTATAGGTAGCGATAAAGATACCCGGTTCACTAGTCAGAACTGGCAGAAGTTGATGAGAGTCTATTGCTCTAGATTATTGATGTCATCTGGTCGTCATTCTGAAACTAACGGTCAGACTGAACAGATGAACAAGATCCTGCAACAAGTTATGAGAATGTACATTAGGCCAGATCAAGTCAATTGGGATGAGATGCTCCCAAAGGTAGCCAGTGCATACAACAATAGCGTGCACTAAACTACTTGTCGCACTCCCAACGAATTGCAGACCACGTAGACCGTTTGAGGGACTCAACCGGGACCAGATTCAGAGGCTACCGCCCGGAACATGGAGTTCGCAATACATCATGAGTAAGAGATTGCTACTGTTGTAGAGAACCTCAGGAAGGCCCAACATAGAATGATAGAGCAAGCCAATAAGCATTGTCGCCATCACAGTTCCAAATAGGCGACTTAGTCTGGGTGAAGTCAAAAGAGTTTGTTCCTGAGGAGAACATCTCACAGAAACTGTTGCCTGCTTACAGAGGGCCGTTGTTACGGACTCGGCCAGGGCTCAATCCCTGGTTCGCGGGGTACCACCCGCCAGCCTGCTATTTTTTTATTTTATTTTTATTTCCTGCTCTTCGGTTTCTGACTGTTGGCGCCCTCTCCAGTTGGCACCCGTTTTCAAAGGGCGCTTTCCTTTCTGCAAAGATCTCTCATATTGAGTTACAACCTGAGGAGCGGTCTGCATGAGCTCTTCCCTGGTGAACCAGCGGTCCTCCTTTGGATCAGTGTGATGTCGGAACCGAACGCGGTACTGCAGCTTCGGTTTTGGAGGACGTCCCCTGCCTGCTGGTCTTGATACCAACAGCTCTCTATGATCCACAATATCATCGATGTCCACCTCTCCATCCATGGTTGGGGGCAGCATCGAGCGACGAGATGGAAATTGGTCAGTCTCTTTGAAAGGTGCCAGCTTGGAAGCGTGAAAAACAGGGTAAGTACGGAGATGACCAGGAATCCGGATAACATATGATGGACCATTCGGATCTGTCCCGACGATGTCCAAGACTTCCCAAGGTCCAAAGTACTAAGGCATGAGTTTGCGGGATATCCCGTACTCCTGTCCCAGTTCTGAAGACTTAACCCAGACTCTATCCCCAACCTGAAATGTAGAAGGCCGGCGGTGTCTGTTTTCGGACTCTATCATCGCGGCCTGTGCCTTCTGCATCTGTTCTACCGCCTGCTGCATCTTCTGTTCACAGTGGTTAGCAAACTCTAATGTACCGGGTGCAGTAGTTGACTGCATTCTCAGGAAGAAGGAAATCCAACGGTAGTCTAGGCTTGAAAGTCAATAGCAGACTATTTGGGCTCACCCCAGTGGCGTTGTGTATCGCATTGTTGTACCTACTGGCGATGAGAGCAAGCTTCTCATCCCAGTCCACCTGGTTGGGCTTGATGTAATGCCTCAACAGGTGTTGCTCAGCGCGGTTCAGTTGCTCAGCCTGGCCGTTGGCCTCTGGGTGATTCCCAGAAGTCATTTGCAACTGAGTGCCCTGCTCTGCAGCCGCGGCCTTCCACAACTCGCTGGTAAACCTGACATCCCTGTCACTAACAATGGACTTTGGTAGACCAAAGGCCCTGACCCAGTTCTCTTTAAACATTTTAATCATGTACTCCGTCTTTGCTGTTTCTGGCATGGCTACTAACCTAGCATACTTACTAAATCTATCCACGATGACGAAAATGTGACGCATTCCACTCTTGCTGGTGATCAGAGTATCCATGAAATCCATGGACAGACTCTCACCAGGCCGTTCCGGAATCAGGAGGGGCTTCAAAAGCCCAAGAGGAGCCTGAGTACGTGGCTTGTCCCGTTGGCAAACTTGACAAGTCTCCACGTACAGCTGTGCATCTCGCATCAAGTTGGTTGCAGTCTTCTTATACCCAAAATGGCCGGTGGCATCATGACACTCGCCTAAAAACAAACTACGCAAAGACTCGCTATTTGGAACACACAAGCGTTTATTCCCTGCCTTCTCTAGGAACAGCAATCCATTGACCAACTCAAACTCGGCGGAGGTCTTCTTATCCTTTGCCTCAAGTGTGCGTATGATCTCAGACATAAACTGGTCCTCGCGATAGGCTTCCACCAAAGACTGAGTAACATTGTCCGTCAGATCGAACTCAGTAATCAGCGCACCTGAGAAGTCCGGTCTGCGCGACAAGGCATCAGCAACCTTGTTGTACTCCCCTTTGAGATACTGAGGGTCAAAGTCATATTGCTCAATGACTTCGATCCAACGCTCGAGAGCGTCAGAGAGTACCGGTTGGGTTCTCATCCATCTCAGGGTCTGATGATTAGTCCTGAGGATGAAGAACCGCCCAAGGAGATAGTGTCTCCAATGGGTGAGAGCCTTGTACACCGCATAGAGTTCCTTCTCATAAGTGGACTTAGCCAACTTCTGGGACGACATTTTCTTGGACATGAACTCTACTGGCCTCAACTTTGGCCCCTCCTGCTGTGCGAGCACGGCGTCAATGCCATATTGTCTGCCATCCGTGGTGACTATGAACGGCTTGTCAGGATCGGGAAGTTTCAAGACTTCATAGTGCGTCAACGCATGCTTCAGATGTCTGAAAGCAGCCGCGCACTCATCTGTCCACTCCCACGGGGTGTTAAGGCGGGTCAGATCAGTCAAAGGAGCGGCCACTATGCTATAGTTCTTTACAAAAGTTCTGTAGTAGCTTGTCATCCCTAAGAAATATCTCATCTTAGTCACAGACTGAGGACGTGGCCAATCACGAATGCTGGCCACCTTCGCGTCATCGGGTTTCAACCCTTCCACGGAGATCTCATGACCCAAGTACAAGACACGGGTGCGGCCAAACTCACACTTCTCACCGTTGATCTTGAACTGGTGCTGTCGCAGGAGACCGAGGACTTTGTCCAAGTGTGCAACATGTTCCTCGATAGTCTTACTAAAAATAAGTATGTCATCGAGGTACACGATGACAAACTTATCCAAGTAGTCATGGAATATCCGATTCATAGCGTGCTGAAAGGTGCCAGGAGCATTGCAAAGGCCAAAAGGCATCACCACAAACTCGTACAGACCGTACCTGGTCTGAAAAACGGTTTTGTGTTGATCCTCGGGCCGAATTGCAATCTGATGGTACCCGGACTTCAGATCTATCTTACTGAAGTATCGACACCCTTGCACTCTATATAGCAGATCGTCGATGCGCGGTAGGGGCTCTCTGTTCTTTACAGTGATGGCATTGAGGCCCCTATAGTAAATGCACATCCTAAGAGTACCCTCCTTGTTCTTAGGCACGAATAGAACTGGGGACCCATAAGGAGAGACACTCGGCCGGATCCAGGCCTTCTCTACGAGTTCCTTGAGTTGGCGGCGAAGCTCATCGAGCTCGCCTGGAGACATCCGATAGATCTTACCCTTCGGAATACTAGATCCTGGGATAATCTCTATCGCGTGGACGACCTCCCTCTCGACAACCCCTGTCGGCTCTTCAAATAGATCAGGGTACTTAGCAACTACTCCGTCTATCTCCGGCGACACTTTCACCGGCTCGCCTGCAGCAGAGACATAAACTAAGTACATACCCTCCTCCTGATTTTGCTTATAATAATTGTAGAACGCGGCGGCACACATGCACCCATAGGACTCGATCAGACTACTAGCTTTGAACTTATGTAATCTGGCGGTCCCTGCACCTGCCAAAGTGTGTTTGACCACTTTTCGGTCTCAGTCAAACTGGGGCTGTGCCACAGAGAGGTAGTACATACCTAACAACATGTCCATGGGGAGTTCATCGCTCACTAGGAACGAGACACGATGTCTCAAGTCCCCTCCCGCGTACGGGAAACAACACTCTACATCCTGGAGGTARTCGTTAACTACCATACGCTGTTTGTTGGCACAGGTCGACTCCACAGGTCGACTCAGGCGCTGCACTCGCCCCTGTAAGCGCAGTCTCTCAACGCACGCGCGACTAATAAAGTTCCGCGTCGAGCAAGTGTCATAATAGGCCTCGGCCTTACGGCTGCCAATAACAACCTCGCTGACGAACATCTCACCCTTAGGAGCTTTGACTTAGGCCGTCCAAGAAGCTAGCGGGTCTAATCTAGACCACTCCACCTCTAGCTCCTCCAAGGACTCGAACACATTCATCGAACAGAGGCTCGATGGGTCTGAATTTGTTTGCGGGACGACATTGGAGTCAGTAGCTTGGGCCATCTCTCGAGATGGTGAGGGTGTCTCCACAACCTCGACCCTAGCAGGGACAACTACAATCCCCACTGGCCCGACGTGTTTCCAGGAGCACTGCCTGAAGTACTGGCTATGTTGCTGCCAACGGGATGAGAGGATCCCAGCACTTGCCCCATCTTCGGCGGGATCTTTTCTATCACCTTCTTGTTGCGGCACTTGAATTGGCTATGGCCATATTGGCCACAGCGAATACAGGCCTGCCGAGAGTAACGGTCTCTCTACACGTCCTCTGTGAGACCCGCTTTCTCCCATGGAGGAGCATTGGGGTCAACTTGACTCCTAGACCGGGATCCTCCGCGGCGTCTACCGGTCGCCTTACCTTTTTGTGCTACGGCAGCGACCACTCCACCCTCTGAAGCGTCTAAACTGCCTGCCTCTGAAGTTACTCCCTCCTGGAGGTTGCCGTCCAACTCGATGGTTGAACCATCGTTGTCGACAAACATTAAGCGACCCTTCGCCTTCCAGTTGGGAGGCAGTGTCTTCTTTCTCCCTTCCGTAGTGGGTGCCTGTCCATGCCCTATCTTTGCTTCCAGGTCTAGGGCCACCTTGCTAAACGAAGGGAAGTTGTGCATATTGATGTTTGCCTCTTTTGCCAACTGGTTCTTGAGAGACTGTGAAAAACATCTCAGGTACGAAGTCAAAAGGACATGAGGATCATAACGTACCCCAGGGACACAGATCAAACGCTCAACAGCATCGGTGGCTTCCCTTACTGACTTAAACTGCCACGTGTGCAGTGTCAGGATCGCGTCAGTGGCCCTTTGAGCCTCCTGAGGATCATGCCACCTTTCTTCCACCATCTTTAGGAAGTCCTCCAATTTCTGGGAGGCCGCCCAAGCGCGGAAGTGGTGACCATATCCCTGAAGTTGCACTAGACCACTCAACCATCTCGCTGCACTACCCTCGAGGTAGGAGGCAGCCACAAGCACTTCTTCGTGCTGCAAGGTGAGTTTGCACCTGATGTAGACCGGCACTGCCCTCAACCATGTGTCGAGGTCCTCGCCTCTCTTGTCCCCTGTAAAAGGTTTGGGAGCGGCGATGGCCGTCTTCGGAACCCACTGTATCTGTCCTGGTCCCTGCATCATTCCAGGTTGTGGACCCGATGAAACAGGTTGTTGTGCTAGCTGCTGGGGTTGTGTGCCCTGAGGCTGCACTGACTGCGAGACGGCAGGCTGCGTAGTGACTGCAACCTGTGACGGACTTGAAGTAAACACTGTCTGTACAGGAACCTGTAAACTACTCCCGGTTGTTACCCCTCCTGACAGCGGCATGCCCAGGGAAACGATAGCAACCGTTGACGGGGCTACATATGGGGATACCCCAGTCACCGGTGGGACAGAGAAGGGAGGATATGGCACGGGCCAGGCACCAGGCCCTGCTGGTGATGGTGCTGCCTGAGCACGGCCTGCCAAAACGGCTAGGCTCTGTTGAATGTCATGGAGGATGGTAGTTTGATGCTCCTGCATTTCTATAACGCCTAGCAGGGCCCTCCTAACTACCCTCACATCATCATGCATATTGGTCAGGTCCATCATCTCTAACTCCTCTATATCTGTCTCTCTTCGCTGCATCCTGGCTCTTCTCCTGATCATCTTTTCTTTTTCCGCTTTTATCTCCCCTAATGCCCGCTGTAGTTGTGCCTCCTGCAGGGCTGCCTGCTGGATGGCGACATCCTCTGGAGTCAACATCGCTGCCTGGCTTGCCATTAAGCCAGTGGACTGACTCACGGTCTGCGCGACCGTTGACCCGACGCAGAAGTGGACATAGCTGTAGTAGCCATGGCTGCTGTAGCACCGGCCTCACTAATTAAAGTCTGGCTGGCCTCGGCTGCTCTAGCCCTCCTCTGTGCCTGCTGTACCTCCCTCTGCTGGCGAAACAAATGTCTATCACCCTCCGGTCCTAAAGACATGTGGGCTACCGGGCCCCTAGTTGATCGCAAAGTCCTGCGGTCGTCCTCTCCGGTGTTCTCCTCGTCGCTCATAGGCTACAGCGTTGTGCACTGTCTACACTAGAACATTCAAGATGTCTACCACAGCATAGTGCACGGACCACTAACTAGTTGGTGGCTACTTTGGAGTAGATATCAGTTGAGGTCAACAGGTAAGTCAGATTCCTACAACTGAAACTATTTTTAGTATGACTAGTTCACGAACAGAAACATCAGGAACAATCAACAGTTCTAACTACTGCTGTCTGTCAGATGTCAATGGCAGTCCATCTAACTAATCAAAACATAAAAATAGAATGACTTGTGTGTAAAGGACAGCATGGAATTTTCTCGAACTTGTCACCTGGAATCCACCCTTCCCTTAATTCCCCTGAGTGTCTCTTGACGTCAGCGTCCCTGAGTAATCTGGAGGGCAACGCATGTCTAAAGGTGTGTATCCGGCCCACCCCTGTGCCCCAAGCATCCACTGAGACGGCCAGCCTTGCACGTATATTTATCCTCGGCGTGCCGCGAGCCTTCCAACCATTGACTGATGCAGGGGCAACCCAACGTCCGCCCCAAGTGACTCCAGGAATTATTTTACGTCGCAGCCGGACGACGATCACAGTCAATGGTTCCCCTTCCCGTGTTTATTTATAGACGTCGGGTGCTCGTCTTTCCTGTAGGGCTGGCCTGCCCAGTAGTACCCATCTAACAGCGCAGCAAGCCGAACAAAGGACAAGCAGCTTAGGCATGCGTGCTCTACTCCCTGTGGGTTGGCATGGTGACCGTGACCCAGTGCTTCGTCCAGGGCCCTTCAGAAAGCTTCACCCATCTCCACCCAGATGCTCCACAAGAACATTGCCGACTCTCAAGGTTGAGCGCACTCGACACCTCACGATGAGAGGACTCTCAAAAAGGAACACACAACCTCACGGTAAGAAGTGTTGGAGAGGGAAGATAARGTTAAGAGCAACGTACCTCATTTAGCTGCCCCCAACCACAGAGATAATCTCACCAGATGACCAAATGRCGATTGCGAWGACYAGTCACTGCATCGGCACAACCAGCATTATTCACCATTCCACCTCAGCATCAATCGCACATTAGATAGTTCTCATCACACTGTCCAGACCACATTCACCTCACGTAGCCTTCCTGGCAATTCCCCTCACCCCCTGGGTCGCCACACACTCGTCTCCACCCTCCTCACTACACACCACTTACGGCCAAACTCGCCCAGCAGACCGCATGTACGTACCGCATAAGGCAGAAGACAAGCGCCAGATGAGCACAATCGAACCATAACTCTGATACCAAATTGCAAGGAAGATGAGTAATAGCGAACTCCAGCAATCAAACAGCATCATACATATGAGTCCAGATAGTCTTGACCTCGAACCAACAGCAGAATTGCATCACGAGATACACCAAATAAGAACACACCACGAGTTCATAATTTACAATGCTGAAGTAGTCCCATCATCATCAACGAAGAACCGGCGTTGATATCCTATTGGCGCTCGGCGCCCAGACTACATGTGGCAGATCCTATTTAGGCTATACTACGAAGCAGAAAGATGACATCAACAGCGTTCCCGAAGTACGAGCATATGGCGACCAATGTCGCACGCTTCAGCACCAGGTATGTCTCGCACTACACTCACAACCTCATTCCCCAACTCACAGATGCCACTAGCACCCAAGGACCACCCTCTGCGCTTCACCCAGCATACAGCAGCGCAGCTCGGCTATGGCTGCGTGCTCCTTCCCTGCTCGCCCGTGAGAGCGTAGGCGCTAGCCAGCAAATAGCGCAGCAGCAGCGCTTGCGCAGCATGCAGCCAGCACCCGAATGCCGAATGAGGAGGCAGGCCCTTCCCTACATCGAAGTGGCCTGCCCGCGTCCAATCCAGGAAGCTTTCAGTAGGCCCCGGTAGCCAGAGGCCCAGTCACGAGGAAAGCAGGCCTTGGGCCTGAAGTGGTTGCATGTGCCCAAATGCTTTCGGCCTGTGTTTGGCCCGGTACCCGTATCCAGCCCAGGGCCTCCTTCACGTACATTCACATAGGCGGCCTAGGGCCTAGGTTCATTCAACCAACTGGCGCTGCGCAACTGCCTGAATTTCCTTGAGTTGCGTGGTGGCCAGAAAAGGGCCCTGAGGGCCTCGTCGAGCCTGCCTTCACTTAGGGCGGCCGACGGGCTGCAAAATAGGGGCCTTATGGGGCTCTTGAAGGCAGTGGCCTCGCAGTAAGTTCTTTTCGTTCGAATTAATGAATTATTTCTCAACATTGCTTTTCTTTTCTTCTCTTTTTCGAGACTACTTTTAATACTTTTGGAAATACTTTAGAAATTAGAATTAATTTTCGATATTTCCTTTTCGAAATTCAAAAATAATTTTAATTAATTAAATTTCCTCATATACTTTAATTCACATATTCCTGTTTGCAATTTTTGTTGAAATTCAAAAAATTCTTTTTCGCAATTGCTTTTCGAAATTCTCTTTTCAGAAGTACGTCCTTTTTTTTTCTTTGAACTCGTTAATTAATTTCGACTAAACTCGATTAATTCACGACCGAATTAATCTTTTTTACTCGGAATTAATCACCCCTTCTCGAAATTATACAATTTTACCCCGAACGCAAATCCGAATAAATTTCGTCAAAATTTATTTTTCTCGAAATAAATTATTCTTATTTTTTTTCTTCATTTGGAAATTCCTGAAAAATCGCTTTCGTATTTTCTTGAAAAATGCAGTTTCAAATTAATTTTGAATAAATTCAAATTAATTTATTCAAAATTAATTTATTCAAAATTAATTCTTGCTCTGCGATTCTCTGCTATCTTCATTGCTAAATCACTTGATGACGCTCTATTCTTGTAAATAGGAATTGTCCCCCCCATCGCGCCGCCGCCGCCGCTGCCGCTGCCACCGCCACTGCTGCCGCTATCACATTTGCTGCTACCGCCTCCACTTCGGCTTCGGCCACGTCATCCACCCCCTCTTCCCCCACCATGGCCCAATCTTCCATCAACATGTATGATCTTCGTTCCGACTCCGTCAACAGCATTGCCCGCGAACTCGCAGGCGATCAGGCAACTTCGACCACCACCACCACGGAACTCGCAACTATCCTCCAAATGTTGACCGCCCTCAAATCCTCCCTCGCCACCATCAACACCACCATGGCCGCCATCTCCGATCGTGTCACCGCGCTCGAGGGAAACTCCCCCGCCATCACGATCGTCACCACGACCACACCCCCCTCCTCCACACCCCAACCCACCCCCTCCTCCGGGCAAGCCTCCGCTTCAACCTCCACACCAACACCATCCACCTGTACACCCCCACCCTCATCCACCACTACCTCCACCATAGTCGCTCCCCCTCCCCCCTCGCCAAGATGACAACCCCTGCCGTCACACAATCATCAATCGTCCCCCCCAATCAAAACCGCTCGTATCCACCTCCACTATTACCCCAACCATCCCCAACTATACCCAGATCATTCCACAAGTTGTGTATCCCGCCTTACAAGGGTATTTGGCGTGTTTCTGCAAGTCGCACTAGTGCATCCTCGCCCGCTCGACGGCATGCGTACGGGAGGAAGTTTAGGCCCTCGCCGGGGTGAGCGGCGTGCGCGGGGTATTGACAGCGAGGCGCAATCATGCACAAGGTGTGTGCGGCATCATGGGCCAGCGGGACGTGCGGCCCTTCGTTCCCCTACATATTTTTTTTTGTGTCTTCGCCTTTATTCTTTTTTTTTTTTATTTGTTTAATTGTTTGTTTATATTGTTTTCTAGAGGTTTTTACCTCAGTCATCGGTTCTGGGGCCGACGTCGGGCACGGTGGCCAAAACGGCAGTCAAATGCCTTGAGCACGCCCATCGAGACTCCGACGGGACCGAGGCGATGACAGATTCCTGACTGCGTGGGGGCGCGGGCCGAAGAGGTCAATGCAGCTGAGTATGGTGGGGTCCGTGGTCGTGGCTTCCCTCACCTTCTACTTGGAGGTCGTCGGTAGCCTGAAGTGCAACCACAAACTGTTTTCGTGACCACGCCGAAGTTACCCAATTATAGTATTTCGGGGAACTCCGTAGTAGCCACATTTGTGCTCAAGCCTCCAACAAGGGAACATGCGGGAGCTGCACCTACCGAGCAGTGCAATGCCTGCTACAGCTGGTGGGTGGTACCGACCAGGGGTTAGCCGGCTGCATCAGGATCGAGCTACTTCGATGGGCCAGTCACTGTGCCTCCCCTGCGGTCCCCTCCCCCTGTGAGCATCAAGCGGTCTTTGCCCAGTGCCACTCGGGGAGGGCTAACAGCATATCCGCGAGAGGCGGACCAAAGTCACCATCCGACGCTGCGCTATCAGCTATAGAGAGGGTCAAAGCACCTGGGGAGGCCGCTATGCTGAAGGACAGCGGGCGCCGCGCTCGTACCATGCTAAACGGCAGGGGCAGAGCGAGACGGACGAGCGGCAGATTCCGCTGGGCTTTGTTTACGGACAAACAAAGTCGGGCAGCACCAGGCAGCAACAGGCAGGTAGCGCAGTAGGCGGTGTGCGCTGCTGAGTAGCAACAGGCAGCAGGGGGACGAGCGCTAAGGCAGTGGGGTGTGAGGCAGCCAGGAAGAAAAAAGAACCTGGCGAGAATTCACGCCGGGTGCAGCGGAGATGGTGGAGAAACAGGCTGAGCACGGTGGAGGAACGTAGAGCTCACTTTGCGGTGGGCAGCTTTGGGCAAGGAAAGAGGCGAGGAGGCACGAGAGGGAGAAAGGGGAGTAGAAAGAAGGTGAGTGACCCAGACGAGAATTTGCGCCGGGTACATTCGAAAAGTGGTGCGTCGTGGCTATGGCGGAGCAGGCAGGAGGAAGCACAAAACGAAGATCTCGCCCGTTTCTTGATGAAAACGGGCGAGGGAGGATGCGTTTTTGGGGTTTTGGCCCCGGGCGAATCAAATGGAACAATTAGTTTGTAGTTAGTAGATTACGAGATAGAGGAATAAAATATTGCGCGGAGATGGCGAAAGTGAAGAAGAAGGGAGATGGGAAAACGTATAACTCGCTCGTTTCTCTACGGAATTGAGCGAGGGAGGATTCAAAACGGGGGTTTTGGGCCATTGCGAGTTGAATAGGAATGATAGTTCGGCCGATGAACGATTGGTTTTGGCGCTGCAAAGGTGATGGGCTGCGAGGAGCTATCGAGCAACTGGATCATGGCAGGAGCAAAAATCTGCAATCTCCCTCGATATTCAGTAGAAGCAGGCGGATGAATTGGTCATCAGGGACGTAGTCTTGGTGCCATGAGAGTCGTGGGATGCACCTCGGAGAAGTGATTTTGATGTGGTAGTGTATTTGGCTTCTTCTTTGCGGAAGATTCATTCGATTTTGCTCATCCTATCCTTGAGCGAGGGAGGATTCAAAACGGGGGTTTTGGGCCATTGCGAGTTGAATAGGAATGATAGTTCGGCCAATGAACGATTGGTTTTGGCGCTGCAAAG